CTACCCGTCTTTTAAACACCTCCAGGGATGGTGACTCAACCACCTCCCCGGGCAGCCCGCTCCAGTGCCCGAGAACCCTTTCAGTGAAGACATTTTTCCCGAAATCCAATCTGTACCTCCCCTGGCACAATTTAAGGCCATTGCCTCTTGTTCTATCACTAGTTACCTGGGAGAAGAGTCAGATGTGAATTACTAGGATGAGTAATACAAGCTATCACGAATTAAAAAGTCATCAAATAAGAAAATAAATGAATAGTCTGGGAATTAAGGAATTTGGAGGAAAAATACCAGTTAAAGTTTTTAAACTAGGCTGAATATTTGAGCTGGAATGAGGGATTCTCTCTGGGGACTCAGAAGTGGAAGAGAAACACTGTTGAGTGTGTCCTAATTAGCTGTAACTAAATCAGACACAATAGTATTAGGGCCACAAAGATGATTAGGGGCCTGGTGCACCTGCCTTATGAGAAGAGGCTGAGAGAGCTGGGACTCTTCAGCCTGGAGAAGAGAAGACTGAGAGGGGACCTTATCAATGTCTATAAATATCTGAGGTGCGGGGGCCAAATGGATGGGGCTGGGCTCTTTTTGGTGGTGCCCAGTGACAGGACAAGGGGCAATGGGCAAAGACTGGAACACTGAAAGTTCCAGACAAACTTAAGGAAAAACTTCTTTACTGTGAGGGTGCCAGAGCACTGGGACAGGCTGCCCAGAGAGGTTGTAGAGTCTCCACCTCTGGAGATGTTCAAAACCCACCTGCATGCTTTCCTGTGCAACCTGCTCTGGGTGAACCTGCTTTGTCAGGGGGGTTGGACTGGATGATCTCCTGAGGTCCCTTCCAACCCCCACCAGTCTGTGATTCTGTATGTTGGCTGTTTATCCTCACACAGTTGAGGTTCATTTGTTCTAACTAATGCTGTATCCATGACATAAAAACTTTACTCCTCAACTTAATTTGCATGGGAAAATTAAACAAGATCTTCATAGAAAGTAATGTCCTTCCTTGAAAGGTATCAGGAAAACAGAAACCTAAACTACTTTACCATCCTATGAATAACACTTTTGATTGCATTGATAATTAAGCTTTCAATTAAAAATATGACAACAAAATACCTAGGATTAAATTTTTTATTTTATAATAAGCCCTACACCAGGATGACTAAACATTTTGTGTATCACCCAAATAAGTTACATTCATTCTGAGCTTTCATGCAGTTTTAAAAAAGTTTAATTCCTCAAAAAATAATTTTCAAGTGAGCTGTAAAACTCTGCACAACCAAGCCAGAATTCTTTTACATCAAGTAAATATTCCAGTTTTCCCCTCTTGCTTTGACAGCAAAGACCAATTACAAAAGCCCCTCCAAATCTGCACTAATTAAATGGAGACTCACTGAAATTTGGGTGACTTTCTGAATACCCTGAATAACAGTAGTAACGCTCCAAAGTATGAGCCAGACCACTGAGCTGAGTTGCAAGAAGTGACATTTTGCCTGTGGAGAATATGCAAGTATCTTAAATGAAAACCTTATTGCAAAGGGGGAGGCCTCCACTGAGGAACACACAGAACACCAAGAGGAGGCAGCAATCCTCATGTTCACAAGCTCAACCGCAGCTTTTAAGGGGACACAGCATTTATGCAGTCTTCTACTATTTCAAAAAGGCAGTGATATACATCAGTCCTCCTAGCAATGTCAAGGGCCGTTTCATCCAAGTTGTTTCTCAGGTCTGGTTTCACGTAGCGATTCATCAGCAAGAGTTCAAGGGTTTCGCGACTGTTTTTGTTTCCGGCAGCGATATGCAACGGTGTCAGCAAACCGTTTGTCTGCGCGTTGATGTCTGCGCCCTGCTGAAGTAAGAACGCCGCCACGCTGGTGTTGTTCCACTTACAGGCGCTGTGCAGAGGCGTCCAGCCGTCCACTGTCTGCGCGTGAACGTCTGCCCCTTGGGCCACCAGTTCATGGGCAATGTCCAAGTGGCCGCTGTAGGCAGCTCGATGGAGAGGAGTGTACTGATCCTCATCACGAGTGTTCACTGGAGCCAGCTTTTCGGAAAGGAGCCTCTTCACTGTACTCAGCTAAAGAAAACAGGTAATTTAATATGAAATTCTGCAAACAAGATGTATGGATTTTACTGTTCTGAAGTTTTATGGTGTCCTGGTTTTTAGCTGGGACAGAGCTGGGTTTATTTTCAGTAGCTAGAACAGCCCTGGGGCTTGCTTTCAGCCTGGGACTTGTTACGAGAGACACACAGATAACATACCAGTGTTTGCATTTGTGTCACTGGAAGTGAAGGACTTTGTGTTTTGTTGGTCTACAAGTGCAAGATCTAAGGGGACAAGGAATATTTAAATTAATAAGTTAAATTGACATTTAGATATGCCAATGGGATATTCCATATCATATCACATCATGTCCAGTATATTAATGAGGGTCTCTTCCTCTTTTGGTTCTCTCTGACTTTCTCTTGGGCTCTCACTCTCCCGGGATTGCAGTTTCTGTTCGTGATTGTTGCTCCTCCAGGATCGCTTTCTGGGAATGGGCTGGGCTTGGTCAGCAGGTGGTGAGCAACTCCACTGTGTATCACTCATTTGCATATTTTATTACTATCATTATCATTATTAATATAATAATTACTTTAAGTTTTATTTTATTTTGATTATTAAATTGTTCTTATCTCAACCTACAAGTCTCCTTACCCTTGCCCCCCAGTTCAGACCCTGTCCCCTGGGGCTGGCGGGGGCAGTGAGCGAACAGCTGTGTTGGCTGCTAGCCCAGTGCCAGTCCAGAGCCAGCCCAGAGCCAGCCCAGAGCCAGCCCAGAGCCAGCCCAGAGAAACCACCACATAGCGAAAAGCAGTTCCTGTCAGTCTTAAAAAGGCTTAAGTGCAACAAGAAGTTTTAAAATGAAGCCAGTTATTGCTGCTGGTGTGGAGTTTTTGTTTTGTTTTTAAGGAGATACAACATGAACATCAGGTGCAATGCCTGAGCAGGACCTTTACCTCTGTCCTGGTTTTTGCTAGGAAAGGGTTAATTTTCTTCTTAAGAAAATTGTTCTTCTAAGTTAAACTATCACAGCCTTACACCCTAAGTACCTCCACAGGACTGCAGATGGAGCCTGTGTGTCTAAGGAAGGCAGCTAATGAAAAAAGTGCCCACAAGGGTGTAATAAGCTACGTAACAGGAATCTTGGTCATCTCTCCTTCACTTCCAAGAATAAAAAGCTTTTCCTTTTTCCATAAAAAGACAGGAAGACAGTCACCAATTACCTGCATATGGAGCTTCTGAGAAAATAAAGTTTCAGATACACCCTCTCCACCCCAGTTAAAAGGCTTGCTTGCCATGAAGAAAGAGCCTGGCAGGCTTTCAGTTTATGCAAGTTTAAGAAGAGTGCTCTTGTTAGTTTAACTCTGAACTACAATCAAAGCTTTTCTTCTATAACTGCTTGAGAGAGTCCAGCACAGAGCCACGAAGATGATGAAGGGAGTGGAGCATCTCCCTTATGAGGAAAGGCTGAGGGAGCTGGGTCTCTTTAGCTTGGAGAAGAGGAGACTGAGGGGAGACATATTTAATGTTTATAAATATGTTAAGGGCGAATGTCATGAGGATGGAGCCAGGCTCTTCTCAGTGATGCCCAACGGTAGGACAAGGGGCAATGGGTGTGAGCTGGAACACAGGAGGTTCCACTTAAACTTGAGAAAAAACTTCTTTACAGTGAGGGTGACAGAGCCCTGGGACAGGCTGCCCAGGGAGGTTGTGGTGTCTCCTTCTCTGGGTCTTGAAAGACCCGCCTGGACGCCTTCCTGTGTGATCTCATTTAGGTTCCTGCTCCAGCTGGGGGATTGGACTGGATGATCTTTTGAGGTCCCTTCCAATCCCTAACATTCTGTGATTCTGAAAGCTAATGGATCCAGAGATATTTGGTGTGTGTGGGCTGCAAAGGGAGCTGTTTTACATACAGTGGCTTGCAAAACCAGATCAAAATAGTTCAGAGGTAAAGGACGGTGTAGGTAATTTTGTTTGTGCGTGAAACTGTAGATACGTGCTCAAAATAACATTCTCATCAGTGATACGTATCACAGAATCGCCTGGATTGGGAAAGACCTTTAAGATCATCGAGTCCAGTCATCAACCTCCCACTGACAAGTCCCCGACTAACCCATGTCCCTCAGCACTGTGTCTGCACAGCTCTTCGATCCCTCCAGGGATGGAGGCATAAGAACAGAGTTCGTGCCTTACCCGGTTGTTTTCCGCTGCCCAAAGCAGCAATTTCTCTGGATTTTTTTCCATTTTTTTTTCTTGTGTTTCATACCATTCCTCGCTCCTTTCCTGTTCATCATCCTCATCATCAGACTGTCCCGACCAACAGCTCTGAGTTCCCACAGGAATCAAATGCCTGTGTGTCTCCAGCAGTTCAAGTTGGTTAAAATTCTCCAGAAACTGTTCAAACTGGTCGCTGTCATCATCGTCATCGTCATCGATGTGTTTGTCTTTGTTCATTTTCAGTCAGCACCTGTAAGGAGCAGGTACAGGATGGTGTTTATAACAACTTTTGCTGTCACCCGGGCGCTAATTGTCAGTAAAAACACCCGACGGACGCTGCAGACACCACCAACCCGCCAACAGCGGAACTCGACGCTCCTCTGCTCAGCGGGGCTCTGCCAGCTCTGCCGGGATCCCCGGTTAACGCCACGGAGGAAGCACACGGCGCTATCCCCGCCTAGGCACGGCGTCCCCGGCAGCGCGGGGCCGCGTCCCGCAGCTCACACCCCGAACACCCGCGTTTGACGAACAGGACGCTGCAGACACCACCAACCCGCCAACAGCGGAACTCGACGCTCCTCTGCTCAGCGGGGCTCTGCCAGCTCTGCCGGGATCCCCGGTTAACGCCACGGAGGAAGCACACGGCGCTATCCCCGCCTAGGCACGGCGTCCCCGGCAGCGCGGGGCCGCGTCCCGCAGCTCACACCCCGAACACCCGCGTTTGACGAACAAAGA